AGACAGCCTAAATGTCCATCAACGGATGACTGGATAAAGAAGAGGTGGTATAAGTATACAATGGACTACTACTCAGCCATAAGAATCAACAACATAACGCCGTTTGCAGCAACATGGATTCTCCTGGGGAATGTCATTCTAAGTGAAGTAAGCCAGAAAGAGAAAGAAAAATACCATATGAGATTGCTCATATGTGGAATCTAAAAAAAAAACCCAAAAAACAAACAAAGCATAAATGCAAAACAGAAATAGACTCATAGACATAGAATACAAACTTGTGGTTGCCAAGGGGGCGGAGGGTGGGAAGGGATAGACTGGGATTTCAAAATTGTAAAATAGATAAAAAGATTATACTGTATAGCACAGGGAAATATATACAAGATCTTATGGTAGCTCATGGAGAAAAAAATATGACAATGAATATATGTATGTTCATACATAACTGAAAAATTGTGCTCTACACTAGAATTTGATACAACATTGTAAAATGATTATAAATCAATAAAAATGTTAAAAAAAGAAAACAAGGATATTTCAGTTGTTCAACACGTTAGACATTATGATTGTGTTAGTGCATGCTGACAAAGAATTTAATAGGATTCATTAAGTATGCTTACTAAAAATTAATAAAATTGGAATACTAATGAACTATTTAAAGTTATAAAGTTTACCCAAAGATCTAGCACCAACCATTCTTCAAATAGGTGAAACACTAATGCCATTTATATTAAAATGAGAAACAACATTTCAATGCTCACTCAAACTTTCATAATAGGTTGGAGATTCCAATGAAATGAATAAAATAAGAAATAATTTATATGAGTATTAGGGGAAAGTTACCAATCACCTGTTTTTACTTATGAATGCTAACTGCAAATAAAATCCAAAAATTAAGAAAATACTACTATTATGTTTAGGACAATTTGGTAAAGTATATATTAATGCAAGATAAAAGATGTTTTTCTCAATCTAGCAATATATATATGTAGAGAGAAGAAGGGAATGTCTTATTTACAGTAGCAACACAATCATACATTTAAAAACTACACAGATAAATTTAACTATGTGAATAATTTTACTGAAAAGTATAAAATAGGTGTTAATAACTGAAACACCTATTAAATTCTTCAATGTGAAAACTTTCATAAATGCTGATTCCCTTATATTTAATATATAAAAATAATGTAATTCTTGTTAGAATTCCAAAGCTCTTGTTTGTTTTGTGAGAAGGTATCTCTTTATACCACATATTAACTAAATCTATTAACTAAATCACGCTATGAGGCTATTCTAACAGATCAGTGATGTGTATGTATGTATATATCTCATGTGTGTGTATACACACATATATCATGCTCCATAAAAAGATCTCTAAAGCCAAGTCTATATGCACAGACACATCTAAAAGATGACATGCATGGTATTTTATTTCAATGAGAAAAAGAAAATATATTTAATAGAAGATGCTGCCACTAGTACATAATTGTCTTGGTTAATAGAACTTTGGACTCCTGACACAGAAAGACTTAGAGGTAAAAACTATTATAATGATTCTAGAAAAAAATCATAAAAGAATATATGTAGAACATATGGGTCAAAAATACTTGTCTTAAAAGAGACATATGAAACACAAAAATTATAAAGAAATATAAATGTAGATTTGATTACATAAAACTATATTTACTTGAAATTTGGTTGCTTAAATAAAGACAAAGGCAAATACTCTATTGGCAAAGATTAAAACTAGGATATCTTGCACATTTGTTTTTAAACCATAAAAAATCCAATAGAAAAATGGGTGAAGGATTTTTGAAGAGGCTACTCATAGAGGAGGAAATAAAATAACCAGTAGATATGTGAAAGACACTCATTGATACTATTAGCGAAATTTGACACAAAGTAAAATGAGATTATTCTCACTATGAAAATTTAAGAATAGGGGTATTGGTGAATTTTGGTGGATATGCAGAAAAAGGTACACTCAAAAACACACTTGAAGGATAGTGACAAGACCTAGATTCTGGCCCTTTTGATGCCCGGCACCTGTGGTATAAAAGTGGGTACATTCTCTGGGGCTTATTAAGTTTTCATCAATGAGCACATGCATGCTTCTAGGGGCAGGCAGATATATTGGCGTATATGCATTCTGGTGCACCTGATGAAATTCATGCATGATGAAATGAGTTCTCAGTCACAGAAACCTTTGAATCCGGTAGCCCTGAGCCACCAAGCGTGGAGGAACACCCTCCTCACTGAACACAACCCACCTTCCTGGGCTGCAGCCTCTTGAGTATCCTCTGTCTAATCTCCCTCATCTTGACACTATAGAGAACAGGGTTTATCAATGGAGGAAGCAGGAAGTGGACATAGGAGAGAAGAGTGTGGGCAGGCTGAGGGACTGGCACCCGAAGATGGTCGATGAGTGCCAGGAGGATCACGGGCATGTAGAAGAGAAGTACTGCACAGAGGTGGGCAGCACAGGTTTGGCCAGCCTTCCAGCGATACCCACTGGATCCCAAACCTTGTAACACTCTGCCAATTAGGCCATAGGAGAGAAAAATAAGCATGGGGTCCAACCCCATGGCTGACAGGACCACAAAGAAGCTGTAGACTGCACCCCATGCTCCAGGGCAGGCCAGACGGACCACATCTGGGTGCAAGCAGTAGGAATGGGTCAGGACCTGTGGACGGCAGTAGGGCATGTGGGCCAGGAGGAATGGCAGGGGCAGATGGAGACCCAGACATCGGAAAGCAATGACCAGGCAGATCTTGCTAACAATGCCACTGGTGAGGAGTGTTGGGTAGTGGAGAGGGCGGCAGATGGCCAGTGCCCGATCTAAGGCCATGGTGAGTAACACAGAAGACTCCATGACAGAAAAGACATGGATGAAGAACATCTGTAGGAGGCAAGCTGAGGCAGGGACAGCATGAGCATCTGCAAGAGCAAGACCCAGCAGGGTGGGCATCAGGACTGTGGTCAAGCCAACATCAGACACACTGAGCAGGAAGAGGAAAAAGTACATTGGGCAGTGCAGCGCGGGCTCCAGGGCAATGATCCAGAGGATAGCACCATTGCCCAGGGCAGAGAGAAGGTAGACAGTGAGGAGGGCTATCGCCCACCAGGAGGGTACAGCTGACAGGCCCGGCATGCCCACCAACAGGAAGGTGGGGGCCATTGAAGTGCTGGTATTGGGAGCTGACTGGGTGAGGAATGTAGACATGGTTCAGGGTCCCACTTTGAACTGTGCAACCTGAAAACTGATTAAAAAGACATACTTAATCTCATGACATATTTGCATAATGCTTTCTAAAACAGCCTGCCTCCTTCCTCTCCTGCCCCAGGCATAACATACACACACACATTTCCTCCTTTCACACAGAGACATTCTAATAACTAGACTGCTGTCATCCCTTGCCTTGGAGCTTTTTCTATAGCTGTCTTCAAAACTCTTGAATTATTTTCCCATTGTCCTCAACCCCATTTTTCCCGTTATCTTTTCCCTAACTTACCTCCTCCCTTAATGGCAAACACGGGGGAGGGGGTCTATACTCCTATAGACACATTTTTCTAATCCTCCCAGTCCCAGGCAATCTGACTTTTGAGCTGATTTAACACATTCACATTTCAATGTTAATTGCTCTCATTAAGGTCACCAATTACTCCTTTATTACTAAATCAAAGGCATTCACCTTTCCTAAACTGATCATTTTCTCAATGACTGCTGGCTGCTATGAATATACACTTTTTCCTTTTCTTTTTCCTCAGTGGTATTCTTCCTGACTTCAACTAAACTTTATAAATTGATGAATCACAAATATATCCCCTGATCATTCTATATTTATCTCATCCAAATTTCTACTTGGATGTCCGAAGCATTTTAAATTCAGTAATACAGAACAGATCTTAACCGATGCATCTTTAAACCAATTCCAGTTTTCTCAGTTAGGAGGCAGTGGTGGGAAAATTACAACAGCAACCAAAAAATATATATGCATAATAAGAAACATATTTTGGTTCCCTAAATCAGTTGGTGGTATTACCACCCAACAATTTTCCAGAATAAGAGCCTCATAATTAGACTCTTTTCACATTTAATATCCAAATATTATTTATAATTTCAACAAGAAGGACTGGACACACACTATAGTCAGATCTCCCTCCTTTAGTTAAATATCCAAAAAGTTAAAACTGAAATTCCAGACAAAAGGATCATGAAATTGTGATGTGGGAAAGAGCAAAATAAAAACATGCTAAATTATATTCTTAGGGGATGCTATGGATATAAATTAACTCTAAACATTCACTGGAAAATTCTAAATGCACATATCCTAAAACATGAAGTGAATTATTTTAAAATAAAATGTAATAACTTTTAAACTATAAAAGGAAAATATTAAAAGATGTATAAATAGAAACAAATATTCATTTCTGGTATGATGAAGTACGGAGGTTGAAACATCCTCTCTCCAAAAAAGCAACTATAAAACTGGGAAAACTGTCACTAATATAATTTCAGCACTCTGAAATCCATCAGAGATATAAGCCTATTCATGAAGACTACTGAATATTGGGAAATAACCACCATGTTCTTGGCTTTCTGGCCTGGGGTTGCTCTCATCATCCCCACTGCCTTCAGTTGTCAGCAGTCACCAGACAGGGAAAGCCGACAGCTTTGGTCTAGCTGCCTGAGCTAGCTTCCCTGACTTGGAGCTTGCCAATTAGTGTGGTGATCTTGGTGGTGAGCAAAAAGGGAGGACCAGATGTTCTACCACCCAGAGCCAGTGGTCTTCTTTGGGGCAAGCTGTGGATCATCAGAGTAACTGGAAATTTAATAAGGAGTTCTGGCAAAAATGGCACATGAAATTCCAACCATTTCCAACCACTGGAACCATAATTTCAATAATTACAAAGTACATGGGCTAAAAAATCCTCACAAAAAGCAGACACTGTTGTACAGAGTAGAAAAAGAAAGAGTAACTATATTCTGCACACAGGAAACACATATGGATTCCAAGATATATGTAAATAAGAGGAAAATAAAAGAATGGAAAAACATGTATCATGCCAACAATAACCAAAAAAGAGCTGAAGTGGCTATACCAATATCAGATAAAAAGACTCAAGACAGAAAATATTATTAAATGAAGAAAGACATTTCATTATGAAATAAGGTCAATATCTCTAAGATACAATAATTATAAATGCATATACAATAATACTACTTTATTATTTTTTAATCAAATTTTTTATTATTTTAGCATACTGTCCTCCAGGATGTTGTTGCTTAAGCCTGTCACAGGAGGACAAATGCTGCATGATTCCACTTATATAAAGTATATTAGTAGTCAAACTCAGAGAAACACAGAGGAGAATGGTGGTCCCAGATTCTGGGGGTGGGGGAAACAGGAAATTTCTGTTTAACGAGAATCAATTTTCAGTCATGCAAGATGAAAAAGTTCTAAAAATCTTCTGTACAACACTGTTCCTAGATTTACCAACTTAAAAAATTTTAAGAGGTTAGATCTCATGTTAAGTGTTTTACAATAATAAAATAATTTCACAGCAAAAAGAAAAAATCTAATGTAACCATGGTACCTTATATGAGGTTGAAAGATATGGGAAACAACGGAAGAGTGTGTCCCAGAATCGGACAATATTTGCGGCTTACATTACTGAAAAACATTAATAATTTGAAATTTATTAAGAAAAAAACTACGAACAAAAGATGGGCAATATCATGTCAAATCTGGCAAAATCTGATTTTTTTCATATAATAATATATACAAATGCTAAACAAATGTATAAAATCAATCTCAGTGGTTACTAAAGGAATACACATTTAAAAATAACAAGACACTTCTTAACCCATCATGTGGGATAAATAAAATTTGATAAAATTATATTCTGTAAAAGATATTAAAAGATTGTTCTTAATCAAGGTTGTCTAGATTATAAAACAAGCTAGCCCTTTTGGGAACAATTTGGCAGAACCCATTAAACAAGAAATCTGCTTGGTTTGGCAATTCTAGTTTTTTTAAATATTGATCAGAGAGAAAGGCTCTCATGTTTAAAGAGGCATAAAAAAAGATTTTTGTTGTCAAGGGGAAACAATTAGTTCTTTATAATTCTTCATATTAGTTCTGATAACTAATCAGGGAAATGGCCATGATGCACAATAATCTTAATAGTTAAGAATGAAGATACATTGCTAAGTTAAAAAATGCATAATAGTGATTTATGCATTATGGTATCATACATGTTTTAAAAGTCTCCTAAAGTATTCTATCTCCCAAATAGCTACATTTGTACTTAAGTGCCTAGAGGTGCTAGAAGGATTTGCATTAAATTGATTTGACTAAAGAAGTAATGGCTAGGGAAAAGGGAATAATGCTGAATTGAGGATAGAATTCAAAGATGACTTTAGCCTTACCCCAAATTCTTTATTTTTTCTTGGAAAAACATATTCTCCTATCAAATGAGTAACTGTCAATTACTCAGTAAACTCCATTGTCTCATCTCAAATATTTTTCCCGAATCCAATCCTTTCACTCATCGACATGGCTGTGGCCTTTGCTGAGGACTTTATCTCCACTAGTTTCCGGGCTATCAACTCTTCTGCATTTTTATCGCTCCTCTGCAGAGATCCCACGGTGTTATTTCTAATTTGCAATCTGATAATGTGGCTGTGGTGTCTTTCCTTAAACCCAGCTGGTTTTCCACTGCTTTAAAATAAAGTCCACACCTTTATTTGCCATAGAAACCCCTTCACCATCTGGCTCCAGACAACCTTTACTGTTTAATCTGTTTTGAATCATGCATCGTAGCTTTCCAGAACTCCTGTAATTCCTCAGATATGTCACTGATTTTCAGACCATCAAAAATACATTTTGTAAGTGGAATTTCTTTCTCTGTATCATCATACCTCACATGCATTCTGCCACAGATATTGTTTTCCTCTTCCCTGAACCCCTGCTGACCGTCTCTCCTCCCAGGCCCTGGGATTGAGCGCTACAGAATTAGAAAGGCTTCAGTAAGTGGCCAATGTGAGAGGAATTCCTAAAAGTTGGGTAACAGGGATAAACAACAGTAGGAAGAAATGGCTAAGAGACTGAACTTCTCTCCAAGGTGGTGATTGCCTTTCCATTTCCCGAGAGACCCCATTTGTCTCCATATTAACCTTGACTGTCCTGAAAGAGGAATCTTCAGTGCTGAGCACCCCGCAAATCTGCTGGAGACAGGTAGTATGTCCCATGGGTAACTACCTAACAAAGTAAGAGATTACATCAGATACATTATGAAATGTGAATATGCAAGAGATCTGGGCATATAGGGAGCATTAAAAAAAAGCATAATATGTGGGGTTGAGGAATAAAACAATTCAGGGAATAGAAATGATTTGGTAAATTACAGAGCCTAAGTCTAGGTAATCACCTCCCTGTTCTTAGTCTCAGATCTTTGTAGGTTATTGTAATATAAGGCAGTGATCAGTTCTGCTGCTCCCTATTTTCAGATTTTTCCTCATACTGTGTCTTTGATGAGGACACCGATGGGGTTCACTTTTGCCCTGAAGAATCTGGGGGAAAGGACACCAGCAGATTACCAGTAGTGCAAGACAGGCAGAAAACCAGCCCATGTATAAGGGATAGAAGATATTACTATTGAATTTTTTGAGGTTCCCCAAGTTCTACCATCCAGAGATTTGGGCCACCAATAGCTTAAAACTATACTGTATTAATTTTAAGACATTGCTCAGTAATCATATTTGGTCTGCAAAGTCTGTTCCAAGTGACTTCCTAGTAAATGTTGGAGTCCTTTATGTCTAGACTCCAAGATTTTAATCCAGTCCCAAATACTGCATACTGGTTCATAATCCTTGCCTTTGAACCAACAGTTATCTCCACCTCCTCTCCATTTTCCATCTCAGGAAGCAACTTATTCCTACTAGAACTCAGGTGCTACCAGTTCCCATAGGCCTGCTAATATATTTCCCCTCCAGACAAATCACTTCTTATTCTCTTACCTCTGGGCATCCCTCTAGCATAAACCAGTGTACTACTAGAATTCTTCCCACACCTTCCTACTACTCTGTGAACTATCTGAACACACACTATCTTTTATATTTTCCATTCCTATAATAATGGCATCTTTCTATTATGCATGAAATACATTTGTTGAATTCCATGAGCTGTTTTAAAGAGTCTGCTTATACAAAAATTGCCC